GTTACGTTGGCTGGCATGTTAGGGGAGGAGCCAGTGCCCACCCCTCCCTGCCCACCTGCATCAGAGGGGGTGTGGCCTTCGCTTTCCCCGCTGTACAGGGGCTGGGGCTGCAGGTACCCAATCCAGGTGAATATACAGGCTTACACTTATATGCAGTTGGGCTGATGACTGATCCTGGAGATGCTTGATCAAGGTTATAGCTGTACAGTTTGGAGATTGGGAGGAGAGGAGGGAGAGGGCTTTTTACAAATACACACTCGGCCTGTAGCCCTTTTCTTGCAGTCTCACACACACTGGGGTTTGAGCACCTACCCAGAGAAACAGGCTGCTTGAAATACGAGTTAGAGGGAGGTTGTGACTGTCCATTATCCTGTGTCTGAGTAGAAGAGCTTCATTCTTACTTTCAACTTCATACAACAAGGCCTGCACTGTGGACCATAACACACAGGGACTGTCTTTGTCTTAAGCAAGTATTTTAAAATAGCCCCAAAACTTCCAGTTCAAATTTGTTTGCTAGATTTTTTTTCTTTTCTTTTTTTAAAGAAAGACCCTGGGCCAAATTCAGCTCTGGATTAAGCAGGCACAAATCCTCATTCTCTTCTGTTTAGGTTCATAGACTGTGCCCATCACCATGGTATCTGAGAACATTGAACCGGATTCTCCTCTCACTGATACTTGTGTAAAGTAGGAGTGATGCTATTGAAGCCAATGAAGGTGTAAACACAGAGGAAGGTCTTAATCCCATTGAAGTCAATGGAAAGACTCCATTGTCTTCTGTAAGTGTTGGATCGGGCCCTCAATGAGAGCAGCATAAGGCCTGTTGACCTCACAACACTGCAGTCACTCACAAGACCTTTGGTCCCATCTCTACTAAGCCACTGAGGTGGGCTGGTGCCTTGAGCAATTATTTCCATCAGGGTTTTCTATCCAAGGCCAGTGCATATGCACTGGTCTGAATGGAGTGTTTGGGCATTAGCCTGACAACTGTCAAACACCAAACAGATTGGGGGGGTGGAATAAACTTGTCTTTCAAAGAAACATTCATCTAGAACTGTAGTCACTGTGTATCTTTCCTTTCCAGCATTGAGTTCACCACCAGTAGCTGGCCTGATTTGAACCACAGTTGCAGGGAAGGGAAGGCAAAGGGCTAGGCACTCCTCATGCTTCAGAAATAGACATCACAATAATTCAGCCCCCTACCAACATAAATCTTAGTGAAGATGAACTTTGCAGAGAGACCCACCGTGCTAGGCGGTGAGGGGAATAAGAATATGGCCGTAGCAGGGCTGCTAAAGCAATGGAAATGGCTAACAGGTGACATCAAACCAACGGAAATTCCAAATAACATCAGATTTCCCTTGCTGATTGACAGGTGAGCCTGCCTCAAATCCACAGGCAGGTGTTTTCCGTCCTTCAAACCAGCTCTTTATGCTTTGCCTGTCACAGCAAATTGGCTGAGGGTAACAGTACACTAAAATGTGTAGTAACCCAGGGTAGCCTGATTGGTATATTAACAATAATCAAACTAAGTAAGGTACAATGTTTTGTATATCAGTTGGGCTGTTAAAGTGAAATGTCTGTGTCTGACAATCGTTGCTTGAAAGTGCTGTTTAATGTCCTTGTCTGTAAATAAGCCCCAGTGTTTGGCCTTTTGCTAATATTGTGAAGTTTTACATTAGGGTTCTGGTATAAATAACTTTATTGCTACTTAGACCCTGGTATCCTGTATCTGTGCATAATTACTTGAAAGCTATATTTTTTTCTGTATGTCGACATACACTTTTCCAGTGAGCGGGACATTCAGATTTGCAGTTTGTTTCCTGGGGGGGTGGTTTCCTTTGCAATTTTATATTCTGTTTTGGTTTTTAATCTTGCAATGCCCAAGTCATCCTGCTGTTTTAAAGAGAATTTTGTGGTGTGATTTGCAAGCCCTTTATCTGCCTTGGGTTAGAGTTCTGTTAAAACTGCATGTCCCTGCATACAGATGATTGTATACGCTCTTCTTTTCTGAATGGATATTACTGTATTAAAGCAACTACACTCAGTGTGGGTATGGTTCTCTCTTTAGGCCTGTGCAGGTCCAGCCTGAGTGATGTAAGGACCAGAGGCTCGCTGTTAAAATGCTATTCCCCTTTGATAGCTCTGGAACAGCAGCAAATGAAATAAACTTTCACCATAACACTTACAACACATTTTCTTTTCATGTGAATTTTGCTTTGGTAAGTGAAATCCTCCCATGAAGCCACTTCCATGATGCTGGCCTGGGCTGGAGGGATCAGCTTCAGGCAGAAGAAGGGTGTTCAGTCTTCCTGTCTTTCACTACTATGCTGAAACTGCTCATTAAAAATGCTACTGGCGACTTTCCTACTCAATGACTGAAACCTCCCAAACGGATTTCACACAGTTATTAGATAACTTTTAATCATTACCGCCGTGAGCTGGGCTGAAGCAGCAATATAGAGGCAAACGTCCGGTGCACCTAGCTCGTTCTCTGAACTATCCATCTGCTTTAGAACATTTCCTCAAAGACAGGCTACAAGCTTTTCCATGGGCCCTGTGTACCAGCACTCAACGTGGCATTATTCTCCCAAACTCCACTTATGACACCAAAATGAGACACTGCTCTGATTAAGTTGTTCAGCAATTTATAATTGTGTCTCTTTTTTCTTGAAAGCTTTGCCTAGCAGTGAAGTAGTCAGCAATGTTGACATACCTTATTATCATTGAAGTGCACCGCCATTGCGGTTCACTAAGGGCAGTTTACACCGTTCTCTCAGGCTGTCTATATTTCAGGCAGACAACACAGCACTGATTTACATCTGGTTCGCAATTTGAAAGTTCTCTTTGGAATTTTAAGGGCTGGAGATTCTAAAGCACATGCCAGAAGCCCTGGAGAAAATACCAGCCTGATGAGCTGAGATAAGCCAGCCCAATCTGACCAGTGCATAAGATCCCAGTTTCTAGTGCCTGTAGTCCTGTTTGTCCTTCTTTAGGAGGGTGGGAATTCATATGGGTCTTTCTCTGCCAGGCTGCCAAATTAGCAGCTCAGAGAATCCACGTAACACACAGCTAGAATATGATACCACTCCCAAAGTAGCATGAATTGATTGTATAAAGGACCATGAGGCAGGACTGGCTCCAGCTTTTTTGCCGCCCCAAGCGGCGAAGAAAAAAAAAAGACCCAATTGAAGCGGAGCGATTGAGCTGCCACTGAAGTGCCGCCGAAGAGGAAGCGAGGCACTGAAGGACCCGCTGCTGAATTGCCACCGCAGACCCGGACGTGCCACCCCAACAACGGATGGACTGCCGCCCCTTTCTATCGGCCGCCCCAGGCACCTGCTTCCTTCGCTGGTGCCTGGAGCCGGCCCTGCCATGGGGGTTCTTTAATGCCCACAGTTACTCAAGCCTTGGGTTTTATATCTCCGCTGAAAGATGGCACCTCCTGATGCTATGCTGGATTATTGTCTCACTACTCTTTCATAGGGAAAAGTACCACCTACTGAATCACCAGCATCTTAGATACTCCTTGGATGTCTCCCACCAATGCAGTGATCCAGCCCAAAGCTACTTAGATTGCTTACAAGATCTGATGTGCTGATCAAAATATAAGTTGGAATGGCTGCAAGCAATTATGGTGGGGGAGGAGAGGAATCAGCAGCATCACAAAAAACAAAGCTAAGTAGAAAATTAAGTGAGACTCCAACACATTTAAGAGAAAGGAGCATTGGGAGTAAGCTAATTTGTTGTAATATACAGATGGAGCATTTCATGGCCTGTGACCTGTCATGCTTCAAGATTATACTTAGCCTGAAGGATCCCAGAGTGCTTCCATATGTAACACCCCTGAAATGCAACTACCTCACAACTGGAGGACAACAGCTGGTGCACAACATGCTGCAAACAGCAGGGAGAAAGGGAATTGTGTCCAAAGACACTTATGAAATTCCTGTCCCTTATGAAAAGTTCCCTGAGATGACTGTCTAGGCAGAGGAAACAGGCCACAGTTCATAGAATCATAGAACTGGAAGGGACCTTGAGAGGTCATCTAGTCCAGTCCCCTGCACTCAAGGCAAGACTAAATATTATCAGTTCTTAAAGTCTCATCTCAGAAGCACACACCCAATGAATCAATTCCATAGAACCTTGCTAGATGGAAAGGCTGCATGGCTAGGCTGACACCGAACTGGGTCAAGGCTTGATCACCCAAGCCATCTTTGAGCCAGGGAAGTAGCGGTGAGCACATAACACGAGTCACAACGCTTGGTGTGGGCAAGAGAGTGATGAAAATATGAGTGGCGGTGTCTGAAAGACAGAGTTGTGTGACTTGTGACTCACACGCATGTGCATGACCTGTACTAATCAGCAATATCCTTGGGTACCAGTCAGCCCCCCGGCGCGCAGACAGGTCAAATGTTGTGTGCAAGCACTTGTGGTTGTGAAAACAGCTTGCACGCCGCGACAGAGAAGACACATGTGCCACGGAGCACGAGCTAGGTTTGAGCTGGCGGAGCAAGCTGGCACTGCGAGGGAACCCAAAATGGAGACAAATGCTTGTGTGTTAACATGTCGTGGGTGGCGGGGGCTGCCCTGGGGCTTCAGCGCGGAGGGGAGGAGACGCTGGGATCTTATCCTGTCTGTCCTGGGATCTGTGGCACCAATGCAGTCCAGACGATCACCGAGGCAAGCTGGGGGCTAACCCCACACTAGGGGTTTGCTGGGGGCTAACTCCAACACGGCCAGGCCCTGAGCCCATGTGTGCTGGGCACTGCAACTCGAGACAAACCCTAGTGGTTGGGATCTGCCAGCCGGTTGATGTGAGGTGGGGGGATACGGGCAAGGCTGTGCCCTGAGGGCCCCCCCCAGACCAAACCCAAACCCAAACCCAAACCCAAAGAGGTGCTCAGGGGAACCCCATCGGCCCGGAACCAAAGTGCGGCGGCGCGAGTTCCCAGCCGGAGCGGGAGCGGACTATCCACCGGAAGTGCCCGGCGGAGGGTTCTTCTGCTGGATGTGCCTGCCGGCTGGGGGCTGAGGCCGAGGGAGTCGCCAGGGTCCGGGCTCGGCGGGATGGTCCGGAGCCGCTCCAGGTCCCCCCCGCGGAGGGGTGAGTGCCTGGGGAGGGGGGCGGAGATACCGGGGCACCTCCTGCAATAGGGGGGGTGTCTCAGATGCACCGTCCGCCCTGGGGAGGGACCCGCTGGTCCGCGGTCTACGGCGTGGGGGATGGGAGGTAAACACGTCTCTGGAGTAGGGGAAGGAGCCCTTGATCTTTGCCCTGGGGGTCAATGGAAGCTCCCCCCCCCCCCCCAGAGAGAAGGGGGGGACTCAGATCCCGGTGGAGGGGGGGGTCAATGGAACCTCCTCCCCCCCCCCCGAGAGAAGGACAGGTGTACAAATCCTTGCCCAGGGTATGTGTAAATGGGAGATATTACCCGCGTCATCCAGAGAGTGGATCTCTGTTGGGGCGGGTGGGGGGTATTACCCCCACCAAGAAAGGCAGGACTCCTCTGATCTCTGCCCTGATATGGGTGTGGGGGGAGTCAGAGATCCCTCCGCAGCAAGGGAAGGGACCCCGTGAAGCTAGATAACGGGACAAAGGGGAAACCTATTGCATATGGGGGGTAACATGGGAGCTTCGCCTCCCTCCAGTAGAGGGGATCTCTGATCCCTACCCTGATACAAGGGTGGAGGGGAGATGCACCACAAAGCAAAGGAAGGGAGCACGCTGTTAAAGGAATGGAAATAAGCCGGACCTAGAATCCAATCCACCTGTGGCCGTGGATCACTGACCAAGATCTTGTCTGTTAGGAGGGATGGTCCCTATTTTTATTTTAGTAATAGAGCCTTAACCGTTTTTCCTCTCTTTGCCTCTGAAAAGTTCAACTCAGAATTTTGCAACGAGTACTGTCATGTGTCCGTCGTCTTTCCTTCTCTGCTCTCGTTGCTCTTAGGACAATCCTCTTTACCCCTGAGCAAGTCTTGAGGTTTAGGGGATGGAAGAAATCCCTTCCCCCTTTTTTTAGTTTAGTCGTAGCTAAACATAGGGGTTTACTGAAACTATAACAAGGATGGTGACAGTTCCAGCTAGCCACCACTAATCAGCACCCCCACATTTTTCCCCAATCATGGCTTCTTTCAGAACGTAGGCGCTCTCGTTCTGCATCCCGGGAGAGGGAGAGGAGGCGACGGGAGCGTTCGAGGTCCCGGGAGAGGGACAGGAGGAGGAGTCGTTCCCGTTCCCCGCACAGGAGGCGATCCAGGTGAGGAGAAAATATCTGAATTCTCTGAAGGCAATAAGCAGAGCTTCTAGCTGACAGCCCCATTCCCCCACTGTTCCTATTGGTGTCATTCTTACTGTGATATCAACAGGGTACTAGCTTCCCTTGGTGTGGGAAATGGGGCAGGCTGAAGGGAAGAAAAAACCATTCTAGAGTCAGACAGATCTTACTATTAGGGGGCTCTTTACTAATATTCAGCCTGTGTTGTCCTTTACTTAACTAGGGCAAATGTGATGAAATTTTGCTGCCTTGTATTGATTGTTTGTTTGTTTTGGAGTGCATTAGCACCTGTGGTCTCTTGTCATGGGTCAGGGCTCCGTTGTGCTAGGTGCTGTACAAACGCAGAACAAAAAGATGGTCCCTGCCCCAAAGAGTTTACAGTCTAAGGATAAGATGAGTCAACAGATAGTGTTTCCTTGTGCGCCCCCTCTGCCTGTATCTAAGACAATGCCAGCCATTGTAACACCACATAACCATTATTCTACTTCCTGGGTGTCACACGAAAAGCTGTAGGTGGGATTGTAGTTGAGTGTTGTTGGATTGAAATCTGTACTTGTGTGAAATTCTAGGTCCCCGAGACGGCACAGATCCAGCTCTTCTTCCCCGTCCCGGCAGAAGGAAAGGCGAGACGATGAAAAGAAAGAAAACAAAGACGCCAAAAGCAAAGAGCATCAGATCACCGGTAACAGGGCAGAGTCCTAATCTTGGGAAGCAAAGCTGGCTATTGGGGCTTTGTGTTTATCTTACCTTGATGTGTGAGGAACCAGTTAAAATCTAGTGGACCTAAATAAAATTGGTAAATGGAGTAGATGCCCATGAAAATGAGGGCCTCTGCAACTGCATAAGCCAGGATTACTAAAGGCAGGTGCTAGTCAAATTTTACCTCGATTTTCCTTTCCCATCTGTGAGTGCACCCCAGTGCTGGACCCGTGCAACCGTTTTTAATAATACTTTGCCCTCTTAGGCCCCACTCCATGTGCTTAGTCATAGTTAATGCACAAAAAACGTTCTAGAAGAGATATGAAACCTCATGCTTTAGGGCACAGTTCAGTCACTAACTAGTAGGAGTTAGGATGTGACCTTCTTGTGCGGCAGATCATCTCATGATGCCTACTGTAGGATTTCTGGCATTTTCCTCTGAAGCATCTGGTGCTGGCCACTGTCAAAGACAGGATACAGAACTAGATACACCTTGGGTCTGATTGAATCTGGCAACTCCAGTATTTCTGCAATTGGTTCTTCAGGGGCAGGCATTTGCAGCTTCATGGAGGCCCATTAACTGCAAAGGGACTCCATGCAGACCTAAGAGTCAGCCCTTACAGATCTGATCCCAAGATCTAAGGCCTGACAGTGTCTTTTAATCTAAGAGGATCTCTAAGCACTTTACAAAGGTTAATGAATTAGGCAGCACACACACAGGATGAGGTAGTAGTTGTGGTTTGCCTGGTATTGTGCAGCCCATCCAAAGTGCCATATTGTGGGCGGGGGGACGACGACAACGACGACGATGACTCTTGTCTGCATTCCTAACAAAGCAGTTCACTTTCCTCTGTCATCTGAGATACTTACCTTATTTTAAAGCAAAACTTAGCATCTCAAGTGTATGTGTAAAAACCAAAAAAGAAATTGAAACCACAGTGTCTCCCCTAGAGGTTTCCCTTCTATTTTCTGTTGCCTCCCATATTCCACCTTAATCATCCATCATTGTATGCTTCTAGTTATATATCTCTGTCTGGCTAGATTGCCAGCTCCTGAGGGCTGGGATCATGCACGCCTGTTCATCTGTAAAACACCATGTACATGTGTGGTAACTAATACAGTAGTAAGACTGAGTTTAAAAATAAATCTAAATTTCCTTGTGCTCTTCTTGCTGTTCTCTTTGCTCAGTTCTCCGCTAGCTCAAGGGTCTCAAACACTGTAGGGGAATGTTTGTTTGTTTGTTTGTTTGTTTTCTTTGGCATTTAAAAGCAAATGAATTTGGGAATATTTTTATCATATACTGTAAAAACAAACATCTGCGAAACCTCCATTTTTGGGCCATATCTGACCTTGCGTTGTTCCTCTACCCCCTGGACCAGTTTTCTGTTCCAGAGCTGTGTTTGGGCAGACCAGAGAGCCAGTTTTGCAATACACATAATGCTTTTGTCACATGCACAAATCTTTATTCCTTACCTTCCTAATCAGCACGTTCAATAAGTTTCCATCGAGTGCCTGGTAATTTTTCCTAGTATTGTATTTCATATCCCTCTTGTATCTTTCTGTCTTTTCAGAAGAAGATATGGAAGGCAAAACAGAGGAGGAAATTGAGATGATGAAAACAATGGGATTTGCATCCTTTGACACAACAAAAGTGAGTGGACTGTTCCATAGAACTTGAGTAAAAAGTCATGGCCTTTTTCTTGATTATATTTACAATTCATTCTTGGGTATAGCCAAGCTATCTTGGTAAGTTTAAGAAGATCCTTTACAAGAGGATGGAGGAAGGTTAGCTGTTTTGCTGTAACATTAAATCTCTCGATGCTACAGGGCTGTGTCTCAGCTTTTGAATTTGTCAGTAAGTAGCAAGAAATAACTCATCAGTGTGTTGAAATGTTGCGTCGGAAGAGTATTGTCGATAGGAACTACAGAAGAGAGCCAGTATTCATCTTATAATACAGAATTAGCATGGGAAGTCAACATACTGGTCATGATTGGCAGCCCTGCCCCTTGGGCTGTGAGCCCCTGGGCCCTCACAAGACAAGTAAGGTGGGGCCAAGTCAGTGCTGTGCTGGGACAGAGGGAGTGTTGCCCTGGAACTTGAACAGATACCCCAGTGTGGTGCTGTGCTTCTAATGGTACTGGCTTTCAGGTGACATGTTAAACCCTTTGGGTTTCCTAGGGAGCAGGGCTTCCTATATTGGCTTCTATTGTGGAAAAATGTGTATGTCTTGATTTTATTTTCTTGTTGCTTGCCTCTGCTGCTTTTAATCAGCTAGCCCCTGGCTATTAGTTGCAGAGCTTGGATCAGTCCTTTAGCATGACTCTGTACTTCTCCCTAAGGGTGTGATCCTGCAAACACTTAATACTGATCATAGTATTTACTACCCTATTGGCGCTAATTGAATCATAACTGTAGTATCTGTCTATACACCACTCACGCTAGAGAGTCTGAGCACCTTGCAATCATTATTTGCCCCTCAGAACTCCCCTGGGAGGGAGGGTGGTATCATCCCTATCTTACAGATGAGGCACTGTGGCACACAGAGCTTAAGTGACTTGCCCAGGGTCACACAGGAAGCCTGCAGCTGAACCAGAAATTGAGCCCGGGTCTCCTGAGTCACAGACAAGTGCCCTATCCACTAAACCATCCTTCCTATTCCTGATGGATACTAAGGTGCCTTTTACTCAGAGCCCTGGGAAGGCCTGGTTACAATGTATAAAAACATGTTCCAACAGTGTCTCCTATCCATGCTACAGCCTTGGTTAGACAAAGCTGTATCCTGCCACTGTTCTTTATGGAAGCAGATGGAAGTTAACACTGAGCTTTGTGATATGATGTGACCCTAGGCAAGTGATTAGGTCTGTAGTTATTGCTTCTGAAAAGGGGGTTTGCTTTTAGTTCCATGCATCTGCATTGTAAGACTAACCTGGCAAAGACCTAGAAAGTTGCTACTAACTGGTTTCAACTTACATGCAGTGTTGTTGTAGGCTTCAGGTCTGTGTAAGCTTGAAAGCGCGTCTCGCTTGCCAACAGAAGTTGGTCCAATAAGAGACAATACCGCACCCACCTTGTCTCTGGTTTCAAGATGGCTTTCTTAAGAATGACATACACTGGGTTAGATGTGCTGATCCCAGCTCCACAACCTGTGCCCTTGTCTGTGCCTCTTCCTGAACAGTTCTCTGTAAAACACACCGAGTTTTGGAGCTCTCTTTCCCATTGTATCTTTCAGGGGAAGAAAGTGGATGGCTCTGTAAATGCCTACGCTATAAACGTGTCACAGAAGAGAAAGTACAGGTTTGTGTTTCTACCACTTGGACAGACTTGCTTTGATTTGGAGGCTGTAATATCTGATGTCTGCATGGGTATGTTGGAGGAGACGTAATTTCTTTTCCAGGACAATCTGATTCAGAGAAGGCTTTGTAGTCCTGGTGAGAAGTGTGGTGGTCTCTAGGTTTATTGACTGAGAGGTCATTCTCATTTGCGTTGAGGAGTGCTTATTGATTTTACATCTAAGCAGTTGTTATACACTACTCAAAACAGATATGTTTCTATACACTACTCAAAACAGTGATGTTTCTTGCCTCTAGTTTCTCTAAAGCTCCATTGCTAATGGAGAGAGGAGTGAACCAAAGAACAAAGGTGCACTCGCTCCCTGTTTCAATATATGTAACTTTGTACAGCGCTCAGATGCTGCGGCAATAAACGCACTGTAAATACTTGGCTAGAGTGGTACAGAATGTCACTGCAGCCCTGGGAATCTTCTCCCTCTGCTTCTTGTAACTACTTAAAAAATGTAGCCTACCTTCTCTTTTGTACACCCTGCATCTCTAAGTTAAACCTAAGCACCTGTGAAACTTACTGTATTGATGGCCCTGGGGACTGAAGTCCTTTAGCCATTGAACATGAACAGCCTGGCAACGGCATGGCAAGCTTCCAAACCAATGTGCCTCAGCCTGACATAAGCCAGGTTTGCACTAGAATCTTTTGCCAATATAACAGGAGTGTGCTGTCTGTTTTGTCAATATTTCTAAACTGGCAAAAGCCCTACTGCAGATCCAGTTATACTGGCATAAAAGTGCCTTTGTCGGTATAACTTATTTTGCTCACTACCTCAGGAAAAGCTATACTGGCAAAGCGCCCCCCGCCCTCCCTCTGTTTTTGTTTTGTTTTTGTTTTTTGGCCAATATAAGCTCAATCTAGACTTGGAGGGTTTGCTGGTGTAGACCTGACCATAGTGATTAGCTCCAGTGGTTGGGTGAGTTATCCATGGCTCATTCAATCATGACTTCTTTGCTGAGACTCCCATCAGACATGCCAGTTAGTGCCAATCCTCTTTGGTATGTCTCGAACACCCAGCTCATGTCACACAAGGAACGGACAAGCTGTCGTAGAGTGGCAGCAGCGTTCTGTCCCAGCCAACCTGTGCTGGATTTCCACCAGCACTTTAAAAAAACACCAATCCCATATGAGTAGGTTGGAGCCCCTAAAGCTCATCACAAGTACAGACAATTAAGTTCTAACTATGCTGATTTCTTTCCCCTCATCACAGGCAGTACATGAACAGAAAAGGCGGATTCAACAGACCGTTGGATTTTATTGCCTGATGTCTAGTCTTGTTACCTGTGAAGAATGACCTCTGGAGCATGAATGGTTAACATTTTATTGTCTCGCTATGACTTGTGTGTGCTGGGATCTCAGAGACAGGAACTCGGCTTCTCACCGTAAAACGAAATCAGCTTATTTATGAGAGTCCAGAAACACTTGCTTTGCCTCCTAGGAAGAGAGGGTAAAAATGATGCTTTCTAGAAACGTTGGGTTTGAATATGTTCAGGCCTGTTTTGTTCCCTGTCAGGACTTTCCTGTTAGATGTATTATTTTTCATTTCTTCTATGAGTTTTTTTTTAAATAACTAAATATTGTCAGTTACAATAAAAACCAGTATATATTTACTCCCACCCCATAATTAAAATATGATGGTGTTGCTCAGGAATAAAGCACCAGAGAGGAGGCTGTTGGAGATATGTCTGGGCAATTTTTTGCCCGTCAAACAGAGGGATAGATCTCTCAGAAGATAAATCTGGTTTAGGATTTAAAACAGAAACAGGATTATTTTGAAAGTGTGCTCATGGGAGAATCTCAGGGAGCCACGCTGTCTCTAATGTTGAAAGAGAATTGTTTTCCTAATTTAAGATCTCTCTCTCCTCCCCTCCTTACTTTTCACTTATCCCTTTCCTTACTAGTTAATAATCAAAGTTGTCCAGAACTACCGATAGGATAGTATAGCATAGTGGCAAAGGGTTGCAGTGAGTTTACTTACTGTTTGGCTTGGAAAAACATACTGTGTTGGAATAGTCTTAAGTTTTCATATTTGTTTACAGATTTCTTACTTAAAATTCTTCTTGACGCTGATTCTTCTCTGAGCAAAGTTTGGAGGTAAATCTGGGTTATATTAAAGACCCAGAGGTGAAACATTTAACGCCTTCCACTTTCATTGCTTACTATGCATCTAGATTATTTTTATAAACAACCTTTTCCAAATGCCATGGTTTATTTGCTGTTCCATTTCACACACATACCAGCAGGTGGCAGCACATGCAGTGGCTGATTTCAAGAGGTGGGTTAAAACTTATTCATAGTGGTAGACCACATGCCCATTTGACATAAAGTGCCTAATGAACATCTCTGCTCCCATTCACAATCATGTACACCTCTCCCATTCATGATTGTATAACGTCCCTGTGGCAAATACCGCCATTACTTACATGGCAAAGGAACATTTGAAAAGTGCTGTGTGTATATTAGCTCTTCCTCGTTCAATAAGCAGTGTTTGTCCTTCTTTGAAAAATATTAATCATGTTCTCTGTTATTCTTCATCTCCTCTCTCCAATTTGTCTGTGGGACCAGTCTGCTGTCTCTGAACCACCAGCATCTGATCCTAAAGCACCTGTGGACTGAGGTTTTGGGAACGTCTGATCAGAAGTTTGATAACTCTCACGTGATGCAAATAGTTAAAATCTCTTGCATACATGTACCTTTTAACCTCCGAGACGTGGATAGCAAATAGCCTTTGCCTTAGATGACCTGTTTTTCTTTTTTAATCAAGCTCAGTATTCATGCCTTGGCAATTGAGATCCTTTCCTAAAGCTGCTCCACTACTCCAGCCTTCACATTTTATCACAGCTTTTCCTGTAGCCTCCATGACCATTGACAAGCAAAACATGATTTTATATTTTCCTTTCCCCCAACTAATCTGACAGAGGGAACAATCCAGATTAAAGTCACATGTGCAACCCTGCAATGACCTAGAATGGCATTAGGATTTGTTCAGCTCACACAAATAAATGTAGGGACCCAACACTAGCAGGATGCTAACATGCCACGCAGGCAGAAAACACTCGGGCCAAGCACAATCTGAACCCTGGCAATGAACACTTGCCATCTGAAATTGGGCAGGCAAAACCGATAAATAAAGGTAGGCCAGAGCCTGTTTAAAACTGTGAGTAAAGATCGTACTGCATATGACAGAAGACTGGGGAAGTTGACAGCCTGGAGTATAGAACTGCCAGTCATTAGATGAGGAGGAAGAAGATTTTCAAAGGCACAAATAAGTTTCAGGCGTTCAGCTAAAGCCTGTAGAAAATCTAAATCTCTAACATAATTTGTGCTGGCTTTTGAAATCTTTTTCCATTTGGAAGATTCTGTTTTACATGAGGATGATGATATTCCCCCACCCCAAAACACAACCACAGTAGAGATGAAGATATTCTGTTAAAGCTCATGCCTAATTCTTAATCTCAGTCAGGATTCCAGTTTTCTACTGGGCCTATGACAATCAGAGATTAAAGCAGCCTAGAGGTGAGGGCAGTGTCTTTATTCCAAGGAAAAAGAACAGGAGTACTTGTGGCACCTTAGAGACTAACAAATTTATTAAAGCTTATGCTCTAATAAATTTGTTAGTCTCTAAGGTGCCACAAGTACTCCTGTTCTTTTTGCGGATACAGACTAACACGGCTGCTACTCTGAAACCTGTCTTTATTCCAAGGCTTTATCCTACCATAAGTCTTGATTAGCAAAATATAGCGGAAGGCCAGGCAGAGGCCTCTTTTTTTTGCTGACCTCCGATAAATTCCCTCTGGTTGCCTGAGCCATGTCAAGTTAGCAGGATGTGAAATAGAGTATTACTACCTTAAATCCTTAACTGACTGATTAAAAACCAGTCATTAGCAAGTGTCTGGTTGTCCTAGAACAACATGTCCTGGTTTTAAGATGAATTCTTCACCCGTTCATCTAAACCTGGGAGGTGACTGCTGCCTGAGGGCCTCCATACCAGTGCAGAAACAAATGCTCCTAGTCAAGCACTAACTTAGCTTCTCTGTGCATTAGAATCACGTGACGCTTCTCTGGGAGATCATTGTCCTGCATGTCTCACTGGGGTGTGGGCTAGGACAAAAGCAACTCCAGCAGTCCTTCCATAACAATCTAAAATAGCTTAATTCCAGGTGTTTCAGGAATTCACCTGCAATTAACATTGTACTTCTCCCCCAACACTGCTAGCCACGTGCTTAGAGATGTAGCTTATCCTGACATTGTCCTTGGAAAAACTGAAGGACTGGAAGCCATGGTATTATTTTCAAAATAAGAGAAGATGGCTTGCTATGCCCTCTGTCACAGCAGGAAATCCCCAATTCAAGCAACATGGATAATAGATTCCTAGAGACCTTTACTAATGTATATTCCTACTATCTATCAGAGTAATATTGAGCCTCTACTGTGATGTTGCCTAACTAGGTATCTTGGAGACTACTGAGTTAGTGAAAGTGTAGTAGCATTATCAGCTGGAAGAAAACATACAAATACTGACATTCTTGCTTAGAGGTTGGGTAGACAGTGCTCTGGGGAAGCAGAAATGAAGAGAAGGTGGTAACAGGCTGGGATACACAGGGGAAAAGGAAAAAAAACTAAGAATAGGTGACGGGAGAGAGGCACAATTAGAAATGACCATTCTGTGGGGTTAGCAAGAGTCTCGGGAAAGCAAATATTTGAAATAGATGAAAAATAGCAAAATGAGTCTGGAGGCAATACAGACACTGAAAAAGACCAAGACACTAAGCTTAAATAGGAGGAAAAGTGGAGGCTAGCAAGCAGGAAAGGAGAATAGGCAGGCACAGTAAGTTTTTGTGCAGACATGTTTGCTTTAAACAGTATTTAACTGTGACTTAATGGTAGTTCAGCTGTTTGCAGCAACCTCAAACATGCTCTTCCCTGGTGTTTGGAAAAAGGAAATTGACAATCTTTGGCTGTGGAAGGTTCCCCCTACTCTTTGAAAAGAGCAGAGGTAACCTGCCTTTCTCTGCTGCTTTAACTGAATGCTATTTTCTGTGGTTGCTTTTTATGGCTCCATTTACTGATTGCTGCTTTAAAAATGGATCTGAAATGTAGTTGTCCCTCATTTACATGTGGAGGTTGGGGTCAGTGAGGCAAATGTTAGCCTTCTTGTCTGAATGCTGTAGGCAAGAGAACATCTGCCAGTCACTTCTGATCATGTAAAAGTTGTTTGTGTATTTCCTTTGTACATGAAGTTATGATATGATAGGACATGGTTTGATTTACAAGAACAGAAACAAAGCATGTACAGCAATCTATGTTTTATTATTATGTTGTCAGTTAAATGGTTGAACTACTGTTTAGATTTATATGTCAGGGTTCATGCCATAGGGCCAAGTTGCAAACCCCCAGTAACAGGTGATTTCTTGGGAGGCTGTTCTGACAATATCAGTGTGTGCTAATTGTTTGAATGAATTTACCAAGTTGGAGCCTTCTCCATGCCTATCATGCCCTGTTCTACTGTATGCACCTTTACCAGCATAGTTCAGCTTTGCATTCTCACCAATGGTGGCAGAAGTGTTTGAAGCAGCCTTTCCCCAGAGCGGGTCTGACTTTGTGCCCATGAGCGTGAAGCAGGTACTACTGGCATATAAGCACAGGGCAAGGAGAAGCCGCCTAGACAACCAGTTCTAAAAAACCTGAAGGGCTAGTGCTAGCGATGCACAAGCCGATGGAAGCTCCTGATCTATACCTAGAGAATAATAGAAAGGGAGGGATGCACTAAAGCCTTGCAAAACATCATGCCAAAGCCCTCCCACGGGAGTCCTGTGATGCTCTGTTGTAAAAGGGTGGGGATAGCTCCTTTTTCTTTCTGGGTGGCCTTTTGTTTTGTCTAATCATCAGTGTTCCACTGCACATGTCTGCAGCTATATCCCCCACTGGATCCAGCCACCTGGGCCATCCATCTTCCTTCTATACTCCCTATATCTTATATACTGTCTCCACCTTGGCATCCCTCTCTGCCCCCTCGAATCCAGCCCTTTGTACCCCCTCCCTGCATTCCCCCTTTTTTCTCCCCCCCCTTGCACTCCTTCTTGCCCCTTGGAATTTCCTGCTCCTTGCACCCTCCCTGCATTGTTAGGCTCCAAAGCCTGACACCTGGCCCCAGGGGCCTTGTCCCCGCCTCTTTGGCCTTGCTTCTCACTGATTGGTTTGTTCCGTTGGAAGGAGCCAGTGGGCGGCTGGACGGACGGTTGAAGTTGCGAAGGGGGGAGTCTTACACAATAGAGGGAGGGCCTTTGGGAAGGCGTGACCAATCAGAGGTAAGAAACGGAGGAAGGGGTGGGACATTGTTGGCTAAGTTTATTGGAGAAGAATAGGTGGGGCGGAACCATGAAAGTTCTAGCCAATCGTAACTTCCGAAGGCGAGAGAGGGGAGGGGCCGTTAGAGCAGTTGTCCTTTTGGACCGCGCAAAGGGCGGTGCTTCCTAAGAATTGGCCAATTAGAAGGTAGCTAAGGGATGGTGCCGGGACCCAAGGCTACTGGGCCAATCAAAGAAAAGAGGCGGGCCTATAACCAGGAGGCGGGAATGTGGACAAAAAGACCAATCATAGGCGAGGAAAATAGAAAGAGCCGGGTCTTTATATGAGCCGACCAATTAGAGGCCGGGGCTTGTCTCTGGGTATCCAATGAGCACCGCGCTGGCAGGGGGCAGTGGGTTGGGTTGCGGGGGGGTTGGTTGCCCGGGGTCTGTCAGAGCGGAGCAGGAGGGAGGGGGATAAACATTCGGGCTGTGGAGACCGGCTGTTGCAGTTGTTGCTCCGTGAGGCTCCGCGGCAGGGCGAGCGCAGGGCCCCGGCAGCGGTGTAAGATGGCGGCGGCGACCCGGGTCTGTGTGAACATCCAGATGCTGCTGGAGGCGGCCGAGTACCTGGAGCGGAGAGAGCGAGGTACCGGCCCCCGGAGACGGCAGCCAGCCAGCCCGCCCCCCTTCTCTGGGGCCTGGCTCGGGATCCCGCCTCGTCCTTGGGGATAGCGGGGGGGCCTCCCGCCGCGGGAGGGACCGGGGTACCGACCCCCCTCATAGGTCCTAGAGCCCCCGTGGGAGAGACCGGGGTGCTCCCCCCCCTCCCTCCCTCCCCCCGCCGGGCCTGCCCCCCATGGGCGAGACCGGGGCCTGGTTTCGCCCCCCGCAGGAGAGACCGGGGTGTCGACACCTCTCTTCCCCCCCCCGCCGCCCGGGAAGAGGGTCCAGGGACCAGCCCCCGGGAGAAGGGCCTCCCCTGAGGCCGAGCTATCCCCGGCGGAGGGTGCTGACCGAAGACCGCTCCCCCCCAAGGAGCCAGCGGCCTGCGCCGCCGCTTCCCCCACCCGTCGTCGGCAAAAAGCGGAACCGAAAGGAGCCGGGATCCCATCCCGAGCGCGGAGCCCCCTCTCCCGAGCGGTGACCAGCGGCGCTGGCTCCCGCGCCCACCCTGAGAACGCCTTGCACCGGCTCCCCTTTCCTTAGCCCGCCTGCTGTTACCCCTGCCCCTCGGGGCCCACCCTAATCCCCCTCCCTCATCCGCTCTGCTCCCCCAATCGTCCATCTTGGGGTGTGGAAAGAGCCTTACCCCCAGGCACACATTGCAACTCCTGGGGTATAATCCCACCACGCACAAACGCCCTGGCTTTTTGTGTAGATCCTTCCATGGAGGGGTGTTTCCTCCAAGAAACAAGTGTTCTGGAGATTCCCATGTATGGAATGGGGAGAAAGGGACCCATCTTCCAGATCCCCACTTCAAAATCCCTATTGCTTGCCGTCTACATGGTTTCCCCCCATGTATGGCGTGGGCTTGTCATCCCCGTGCTGGAAACAATGGATTGCCTGGACCTGGAGGGTTTTGTATAAGGCTCTGTGTGTTATTCATTAGCAGATAACTAAGTAATCTTATTGATTTCCACCTTTGGACTTCCAAATATGTTCTCCTCCCACCCCCAAATACTCCTGGATGTCTGTATGTTTTGGGCTAACTTAATGATCGAGTGAAATCCTGGCTTTTTTTTAGAAGCTGAACATGGCTATGCCTCTATGTTACCCTACAATAACAAGGACAGAGATGCCTTAAAACGGAGAAGCAAGTCCAAGAAAAACAGCAGTAGTAGCAGGTAATGGCAAATATATGGTACTTGCATCTGTGTGTGTGATCTGATTTATGCAGAAGCTTGTGGTGCAAAATTCTGCCATTTCTACTATGATTATAGCTCTGTGACAATGTTGGCTATGTGTCTTCCGACTTATAACTCACCGTACAGTGGTATTTTTAATTAAAGAGTTGTTTTTGTCATTCTGTTTTCTCACTTGACAAAGTCTTTGTGTTAACAACTCAGATTTTTAAAACATTCCATTTAGTAACTTATTTAGGCTTTTTACTTCTATCTTTAACATGGGAAATGAAGGTACTAATCAATTTCACTTTTGCTTTCAGTCAACTGTATGTTTAGGCTTTTCTGCATTAACACAATGGTTTAATGTTTGGATTGCAAATACTGATGGGGTATGTCCCTATTTAGTTTCAATGCAAACCATTTAAAAAATAAAATGAGCATGATGTGGTTATAATAAAGGGAATATATTGTAATTATATAATGCCTCAGTCAAATTCAGCCCAAACTTTGGTTTTGGCACTTCAAGAAAACAGAAGTATTTTTAACACACCCATTCAGATATCTTTTTATGTCAGTGAAATAAAACTTTTCAACTAGAGCATGGATACTCAAAGGTAAAATTTATAATATTTCTTACTGAGATAGGTGTGCATACATTTAGACTATTGTGTGCATGTTTAACTGCAGTAATACATGAACATAGTCAAACGTTTTGACACTAGTTACTTTCTAGGGAAACCTCTAAAGAACAGAAACTCTCATTTTTTGCTGTATTTGATTTTTTTCTCAGAAAACGTGGAATTTTGCCATGCAACATGATAGAAATATATGTTTTTTCTAAAGCTAATGTGAAAATTGAAGGAGTCTTATCTTTCATTCAAGATTTATGTGCAATGTTAAATTCAAATTTTCTAACATTTTCTGTTTCACTTTAAGTGTGCAGGAATTCTTAACTAAAGCTAAATTATATGACTGAGTGCAGAAAGTGACAGGGTTCTAGTTTGACACTTTGATTAAATCTTGCTTCCAGTGCCACTTTTGTTTGACAGCCTGATTTATTTATTGTTCATCTTGAAATCCATCTAGAGATTTGCTACAGATTATTCATCTTTGATTTAATATACATCTTGTTCTTGGGGCAGCTAAAAATGCTAAATCACCCAGTACTGGAGATGTTTTGCTGGGATTTAATCCATCCAAATTCATTTCAGTCCAAGCTGTTGAACTTTAAATTGGATAGGCAACTTCTGCAAGCCTTTTTTAGTGACGTTTTTTAGGTCCTAAAGACTTGCAGGTTAAAACTGAAATTCCTGTCTTGTTTTAGGTGCTTGCAACTCTCTCCATTTAGTAGTAGTATGTATAAATGCATACTGCTACTTTTAGGTAATGCTTGTACTGTGACGGAGACTCATTAAAAGCCAGGAAGTTCTCAGTTAAAGCTCTGTCCTTAACTCACCCTGTTTTTACTATGGTTAGTGGCCTAAGCTCAGTACGTGATGTGCACCATATGTGCTGCAATATTTGGGTACAGCATAGCAAAAGAAGGATGGAATTTCAGTGTGAACTTTGAACTTGGGTTTGTCCCAACCTCCGTGTTTAGAATCTTACTTGGGCTGTAGACTGTCATTTCAGTGCATGTCTAATACAGAACGAATATTGACCAGTGGTAGAGAAGTCTAATAGTCCTGATGACTTCTTTGTGTATCTATACTAAGAAGGACATATTTCACAATGCAGATGGAAGGCCTCTCAAATTTCAAGAAATTTTAGGGGTTTGATTTATTGAAGTACAGAAAGATGTCTGAAGGATTTTGCAAATGCTTTCCCTCCCCCCTCTTATTTTTAAACCTTCTGGGCCAAGATTTTGTATGTCATTTTTTGTGAGAAGGAGAGATTTTTGCAGCTGAGTACCCTAGAAATCCTTTAGAAATGGAGGTTGACAGTACAAGAGCTGATTTACTTCTTAATGTATCTAGTGAAAATTTAATCAGCATTTTCTTTTTCAGCCTGTCTCACAGAATTCTGTAATTACAATCTTAACTATTAAAATGAATTGTAAAGCTCAACTTTGTAACTGACCTGCAGGAATAGTGTATTTAAAGGTGTGCAATGTTGGCATTGGAGAGTGAGCTCTTTCTTGTGTATACATTAAGTGCCCTAAAGATCAAATCATAATTAATAGAGAAATAGTACGATAGAGAGAAAGCAGTGTGAGCAAATTCATCTCTAAATATCATGTGGGTGAGCCTGGCCTGTTTTTAGCTGTTCTGTCTAGGGACTAAATATTTCCTGTTTCATTAGGAAATGTGAAGTGACTCCTTGTTTTAAACCGTTTGATTCTTTAGTGCCCCTTTAAACTTTTTAATTAAGACAAAATCTATCTTTTGTTAAAGTAATACCTAATATTACAATAGCTGAAATATTATTGGGCAGGGGCATAGAGATGGGCAATTACTCTGTTGGAGAGCTCTGTATATAGTCAATTTCAGTCTGTGTAGCCTTTTTAGGCCTACCTGACTCCCCCTGACTTCAGTGGAGGGCAGATTAGGTCTTCTATCTCCTGTTTGTGTGAAACTTTCACTGAAATGGGGAAAAAGGCATGTGTTAAATAGGAACATCTGATTGTAAAACACAGCTTGGCAAGTGGCCCCAAGGGCATGTATAATACCTGAAGCTACTTCTAATTCTCTTTTTTAAAAATGGTTAGATTACAAGCTGACAGTTTCCCTTTAACACCAATTGTGGAGGTATCTTAGCGTAGCAAGAATAACTTATTTCTGGCCTACATAACAATGGAATGAGTTAATACTGAGTTCATATGGAAAATGGTGCAGCCATTTTCCTGTATCTGTAATGGAACAGGTGTTCATTAAAAGGTCAAAGTTCAGAAGTAATCCTAGTTGCATGCCCAAATTCTGCATTTAAATTCTAGAATGTGATCGATATTAACTATAGTATAGTAATAAATAGGTCTGTGTGACCAGTATGATTGTTAGCTGATATTGGACAATAAGATGGTCTGTCTGTTTGTCAGAGAGAGGTGAGGGTATTTTTTTTATATTGAGTTTAAGGTTGGCATTTTATGCTAGGTCTGCAGACCTGTCACTGTGCCATAAGCATGGTTAAGCCTGCATCTTTGGAATGGAAATTCTGCAACACTGCTATTCACAAAAATGTGGCAGTGGCTTCTGTAGCTAATTAGAGAGACTGTCCCTTTCCCTTTTGGAAAGGGAAGAAGATGGGTACTATGTACCATTTAGCTAGTGTAAATATGGTTACTGTGCCCTTCTCTGTATTAACTTCCTGGAAATGGTCTCTGTTTGTTTGAAGTTCTGAACACAGAAATTGATTGCTATCAATGTTGCTTTGAAACTGACAAACAAAACACTAACATCTCTTGAAGTTATTATGCTCAGTCTTTCCACTTCAGATCAAAATTATTTGAATACGTTCCAAGTAAAGGAAACTAATGTTTATCACTAAGAGCTGAGAATCTTGTCTACATGGTAATGTGCAAACTATCCACCTTAGGGTTTATGTTGTAAAAATAGAATTCACCAGCTAATAGAACTATATTTTTGGATACAAAACTTACCATTAGTAAAATGTTCCTGGACATGGTTGAGTCCAGAGAGGATGTATTCCATTAACAAACTAGTTTGTAACAGACATCTGTAACTTTTGGAACCAGTATTGAATTGATATGTCCTATTTAAGACATAACAGACCACTAGTAAACTACAAGTTAATTGTAATGTCTTGGACTCGGGCAGTCATAATTCGGAGGTGAGGAAGGGCTTCAAACTTCTTTGTTTCTCTGGTTTTTATCCAGAAGAGTCAGTGGGGGAAACCGGTGGAACCAAAAATACGTCTGTCCTCTTTTCAGCCATTTACAGATGCCCTAGCAGGGGAACTTGTGTCTCCATTACGTCAGACTAATGTGCCTCCATTTAAATGATCTACTAAGAAATATGGACCTTTCATTCTCAATGGAAATCAAAATATCTTGTGATTTTTAAATGTTTCGAAGCTAAATGTTTGCATTTCAGAACAGATCACTTTAAATAATGCAATCTGAAAGTAAACAAATGGAGCCATGTTAAAATTAATGTCATTAAAAAAATGGAGGGAGGGGGGAATAACTTACCAAACAAAGATAAAGCTATTTTGAAATACTATGAATGAAGTTTCTATGAGGGATTGCAAGCGAGTAAAAATACCAAAAATATAATTTGCAGTGGCCTCAAAGTATAAGTTCCTAGCGTTGCTTATTTAACAATAAAAATCTGCTTAATTTATTGAAACCTCTAGAAAACACAGTGGGAAAACTGGCACTCTCTGGCTCAGGCACAGGATAAGTCAGATGGAAGGCTTCAGATATATACATTCCTTTATCATGGTTGTGGTTTTTCCGTCAGGTTTTCTGTCACACGGTAATGCTATCCCTGAACGATAACAGGCTTCGTTTAAAGCTTTAAAGAGTAGTTGTGGCCGATTTCTGTTATGAGCATGTGTGCATATATTAGGAGGCCTCATTTCAACATTAAGTCAACAGTAACTTGAAAACTATTTAAATCTCTTTAGTTATTCTGGATCCTCTTCTTTATAAGAGAACCCTGCAATAGTTCTTTTTTCTTACCGTTTTCCTAAAATCTTGCAGGGGGAGATGGAAGAACTTCTGAATTATTTGCGAACCAATATAATAACAATCTAGACTACAACCTTACATTTAATATGTCATTCTTCCATGTAAAAATGAAAAGCATTATAGTCTGTCATTCGCTTCTGGAAAAGTTTTCTACAGATCTCCTGTGTTCGCATACCTGATCTTCAGGGTATTATTTCTCTGCAAAGCTGGTGACTTAGTGATTGAATACAGTGTACAAGTCACATGGTTCAATTGGTATCGCTCATTGGTATCCATAGGCCATGGGATCAAATCTCTGTGTCATGCTCATTGCTGCACTGTTTAAGGTGCCACCCTTTATAAAAAGCTGGAAGCAGAAGTTAAGAATTCAATAAAAGTTAATGAGGAGTCCGGTGGCACCTTAAAGATTTACAGATTTATTTGGGCATAAGCTTTTGTGGGTAAAACACCCCACTTCTTCAGATGCATCTGAATAAAAGTTAAGGCTACTCGACATTAGGTTGTGGTGTCCAGACTGTCTAAGCACTTGTCTGCTAGTGTTTAATTATTGTTGTGTTATGGTACTTACCTCATTATTTTGGGATATCTGATGTTAAAGGTGCTATTTAAAACCATATTTTATTCTGCAATATAAATCTTAAAGACACAAATCATATAACAGTGTTTTCAGGCAAGAGTTACAAATACCACTTAAGAGTAACAAAATTCAGGCAACTTTCCTCCATCTCTTCACGTTTTTTTTCTTACTTTATATGTAAACTCCTATAAAATGCAAAGTTGGCTTCTCTCGTGATGTGAATCTTTTGCACAGCAATAGGGAGAGAAATACTTAAAAATCCTCCCCAAACCACCAGTTGGCAATGCACTCGGGGCATGTCTGAAACTACACTTGACTCTTAATTGATTAGATGTCAAATAGTGTTAAGATGGGACAATTTGCCTTTCTCTTCCTATGCTAAGATAACCACATTTTTTGTTTGCACCACCATCATGCACTTGGCTTTGCAGCTGTTTCTGGGCTTATATTGCCATTTTGCTGGCAGAAAACCCATACTGTGTTGCTCCACACTTCTTCAATTTGTCCTGGTTGCTTCCAACCTTTTTGCTGTCCCCAGGGTAGCTAGCAGCTTTCTCTGAAGTGCGTTAGTGGCTTGCAGCTCTTGCAGTGAATGGTTACAAAAACTGTTGCATTGATATTCTTAATCACCGTGCATGTAGTTATCTGCAACTGACAACCATTAAATAACTAATTCCTTGTTTATCTTTCAGGTCAACGCACAATGAAATGGAAAAGAACAGGTGAGTTTGTAGGATTCATTAAGTATTTGCACTAACTTTTATTCCATTCCCCTGCATCCCCCACTGGGATTGTTGGGACCCAAAAAATCTTACTGCGTTATAAGTGAAACCACGTTATATCGAACTTGCTTTGATCCACCAGGGTGTGCAGCCCCGCGCGCCCCCCCTCCCCCCCCAGGTCCCCGGAGCACTGCTTTACTGTTATATCCGAATTCGTGTTATATCGGGTCGTGTTATATTGGGGTAGAGGTGTACTAATTTTGCAGTCAACATTGGTTATCTGTTTGGAACTCGAATAGTGTGGGAACCAGTTTAACTTGATAGTTGGGGCCAAATTCTGGTTCGATACATACCACATCGCATCTAAGATGAAAATTAAGCTCGTTGTTAAGCATTATCCTTAATGTAAGGAATCTGATTACTTTCATTACAATGGACTTGAAAGGTCAATTGTCTCTGACAGCAAACTTTATTAATTGAGGAATTTGGCTTTGCCAATGGGAGAATTTTGTCTAATCTAAAAACTGTGGTTGTATTGTCACTTAGTAAAAATTAGGCTGAAATATGCTTTAAAAGAAGTTTTAAGCATAAATCTGCTTATGTAAAGTAGAAGTTGGAGCTGGAAAATCAAGGGTCATGCAGAGTGACATGCTAGATTTCTAGGAATCTCACTTGCTGTTGTACAAACTCTGTAATGTTAAGGGTTTGACATCTAACAAGTGACTTTGAAATTAACCTGATGCCCACTACAGTCTCTCACTTAAGTATTGTGGACCATAGTTGTAATACCTCTGTAGGTACTACAGACAGTTCTTGTGTAACTCCATTAAGGCAGGTTGGATAAGTCTGTTCTGAAGGTAGGAGATCTTATTTTGGGGTTGCAAACAGTGTTAAGCAGGGATTCATCACTGGGCCCCATCATTGGATTGACCCTAGGAGTAAAGATTATCCACTCTGTTTGTTTACATAAAATGCTTTCAGAACTACAGTGCAAATGATTGTTTAACTTGTAGTGTGCTTAGAGCAAGATATGCAAATAATTGCAACATCTCAATTTGAACTTCTTATGACAATTAAACATTTCAAAGACAGGTTATGTTGCAACCACTGCCAAATAATATGACCTAAATGTCAGGATCAACAAGAGCATTTGAATAGTATTGAAACTCACCTGTCTTGGAACTATCCTCACTCCCAATATCCTAATGAAGCTGTTTCCTTGAGTATCTAAAAAGCTAGCTCTGCATATTGTCATCCACATGCCTGCTGTATGAAAGCAACTGGGCATTTGCCTATGTGCAAGGATCAGACTAAACCGTGTACCCTGTATATATGGACTTCCAGCCACTGTCAAAGTGCTAGAGAACTCCTATAGTGGAAGTTGAATACTGTGATGAGGATGCAACTTAACTAAATGGATTGTTTATGAATGGAGATGCATACACCAGAGCAATTGATCTGAAACTGGCTAATGGGAAATAAACAAAGGTAGGCAGAGGAAACATTTGTAAAGGTGCATTCAGAGTTTACAGCTGTGTAATATTGACATGCTACATTAGAGGAGCTACAGTTGTCAATGGAATTAACATGATGGGGTGAAGTTGTTTGAAAATAGTTGGTGCACCCAGGAAGCAGTGTCAGGTAAGCCTTCAATTGCAGCTGATGTCACCCTTGAAAACACTAGTTTCAAATCTCCTTCTGACCAAATGCATAAGGCATCATTTAACCTCTGTGGGCTGGAGACTGGGCTCTGGGACCCCACAAAGGGGGAGTGTCCCAGGGATGAGGCTGGAGCCCATGTTCTAATGTCCTCACTGCAGTTTTACAGCCCTGCAGCCTGGCCCTTTGAGACCTAGTCAGCTGACTAGGGCTCGCTGCAGGTGTCTTATTGCAGTGTAGACATTTTCAAAAGCTCTCAGCTTTGGTAACTCTGCCTTGGAGGTGTGGCGAGACAATAAAGGGCTTGGCTTCCCCCCACCCACCCCCTGAGATGCTGAGTACCCATAACTCCTATGAAAAACAGTGGGAGCTGTGGGTGCTTAACAATGCTGAAAACCAGGCCTAAGTCACTGGCTCAAGGTCCTGTGCATGCGTGGCAGAGCTGGACTGTGACTAGAACTTAGATGTCTGCTGATTAGAGGAAAAGACTGGAGCCAGGACAACATTCCAACAAAATGAATGTTGTGTGAAATGTCTTGTTTCTCTAAAGCATTGTGACCAAAACACTCATCAGTCAATGCTTTTTACCTTAAATGTAAGGTTAATACTTAATAGTCAGGTCTGTATTTGCAGTGCTCTTAACACTTTGCTGACTTACAAACCGTGGATTGTAATTCAGAAGACCACACCTCATAGTGCTGTTTCTTGTTCAGTCTCTTTCTCCTGGCTATTCACAGATTATTTTTAAGACACCTTTGGTTTTAAGAATATACTTACACTGCCTCCTGCACAACACAGTAAAAGGCTGATCTACATAGTACCACCAGAGAGCCAATGTAAAACGCTTTACAGAATGAAGAGATGTAAATAGTGGTGCCCCCAGGGGATCTGTACTCAGACCAGTACTAGTCAACATATTCATAAATGATCTGGAAAAAGGGGTAAACAATGAGGTGGCAAAATTTGCAGATGATGCAAAACTACTCAAGATAGTTAACTCCAAAGCAGACTGCGAAGAGTTACAAAGGGATCTCACAAAATTGGGTGACTGGGCAATAAAAAGGCAGATGAAATTCAATGTTGATAAATGCAAAGTAATGCATTTTTGGACAACATAATCCCAACTCTACATATAAAACGATGGGATCTAAATTAGCTGTTACCACTCAAGAAAGAGATCTTGGAGTCATTGTGGATAGTGCTCTGAAAACATCCACTCAATGTGCAGTGGCAGTCAAAAAAGCTAACAATGTTTGGAATCATTAAGAATGGCATAGATAATAAGACAGAAAATATCATATTGCTTCTATATAAATCCATGATATGCCCACATCTTGAATACTGCATGCAGATGTGGTTGCCCCAACTCAAAAAAGATATATTGGAAAAAGTTCAGAAAAGGGCAACAAAAATGATTAGGGGTATGGAACAGCTTCCATATGAGGAGAGATTAATAAGACTGGGACTTTTCAGCTTGGAAAAGAGATGACTAGGGGGGAATGTGATAGAGGTCTATAAAATCATGATGGGTGTGGAGAAAGTAAATAAGGAAGTTTTATTTACTCCTTCTCATAACACAAGAACTAGGGGTTACCAAATGAAATTAATAGGCAGCAGGTTTAAAACAAACAAAGTATTTCTTCACGCAACGCACAGTCAACCTGTGGAACTCTTTGCCAGAGGATGTTGAGGGCCAAGACTATAACAGGGTTCAAAAAAGAACTAGATAAATTCATGGAGAATAGATCCATCAATGGCTATTAGCCAGGATGGGCAGGGATGGTGTTCCTAGCCTTTGTTTGCCCGAAGCTGGGAATGGGTGACAGAGTATCTTACTTGATGATTAACTGTTCTATTCGTTCCCTCTGTTGCATCTGGCATTGGCCACTGTTGGAAGACAGGATATTGGGCTAGATGGACCTTTGGTCTGACCCAGCATGAACGTTCTTATGTATTAGTACTCCCTATACAGTAACTAAAAATGGGGCTCTGTCAGTCTGGTGGACTCTTTTTGCACTGTTGAACATTTCAGAATTGAAAGGCTTTTCTAATAAGATGGGAAAGCATAACTATCTTAATCGACTATTAGCTCAACAAATACCTCAAACCAGTCTTTCAAAACTGTTGCTTTTCTTAAAACTTATTTCAAAGTACTGCATACTGGGTACAGCAAGTGGATACTATGAAGACATGTCTTGTAGCTGAGAGTAGCCATTTCTGATATAAAAGACTATTCCCCTTAACATTAAAACCTGTCTTATCCTGTAGGATCATTATTATTGTTTGTGGAATTAATCTGTTCCCTGACATAAAACCTGGGGACATAAACAACCTATTGTAGTAAATGGTGCAGAAAGGGAAAGGTCTACAAAAGCAGAATTATAGATTGTCATGAGAAATGTTTGATCAGGTCTAAACTTAGAAGTTTTGCCAGCATAGCTACATTTGGTGGGGGTGGGGGGGGAGTGGGAGGAGAGGGGAATCATACCTCTAATTGACATACCTATGCCAGCAAAAACACTAGTGTAGATGCAGCTTATATTGGCAAAAGTCCTTTTGTCAATAACTAATCTTATTCAGGGAACTAGGATAAGCTATAGAAGCAAAAGCCCGCTTTTACCGGTTTAATCTGTGTCAAATCTAGGACGATTTGCCAGTATAACTATACTGGCAAATCCTTTCTCTTGTAGACAAGGTGTTAGTAACCAGCAGTGGATGTGGCTAGAAATGCTCAAGGAAGAGATTGTGTTGAATAAGGTGATGTGTACCTGCTCTACTTCACATGGTAGCACCTGCAGTAGGTGGTCACAGTAGTTACTCTACAGTAGGGTAGGGAAACTATATACCGCTTGAGCGCTGATTGGGAAAAACATTATTGGCATGTATTGGGCTTTACATGATGTGCAATGTGATGTTGCTCTTCCTGTTTTCATTTTTAATTATACAACCTTAATGACTGATGTAGTTCTTGAATTTTAATATGCACGAAGATGGTCATGGGTATAACGAGTGTATGTTGAAATTTTTCTCTAGCTTGTCCCCCTGCTGCTTAACATTTTCAGTGTAATTGAAACTTGCTTTCTTCCAAGCCATTGTACCTCTGTTTCTGGAATGCTAGTGCTTCATAGTACAGCTCTAAGGGAGAAAATACATCTGAAATTATGCCAGGATGCACTATTCATCTTCCAAAAATAGAAAGGAATGGATATCCTTATTCTTCTAACACCAACTGCTGTTGTCACCAATTGTATTATTTACTGTTGTTCTATTTGCCATAGCTGCTTGCAGATGTGAGGTCCTCTTGAATGTTGCCTAATCCTACCTAGTTGCTGTTGACCACAGAATGAATATTTACATGATGTATGAACTTTGGATTTTACAGACGTGCTCATCTGCGGTTGTGTCTGGAGAAGCTGAAAGGGCTGGTACCACTTGGGCCTGAATCCAACAGACATACTACACTGAGTTTACTAACAAAAGCTAAATTGCACATAAAGGTGAGTTCAAGCTAGTTTAATCATGTAAGTGAGCACTCCAAGCATTACTGAATGCTGTAAAAACTATTGCTTGACAACAAATTGTGGATAAAATCCTGTTTCAGAACCAGTTCCTTAGTCATGTCCACTTCTGAAGTCTGTCTCCTGCAAACAAGAGAGGTAATCTTCACACACATGACTGAAATGGCATAGGGATGAAAGTGACAATGATTGTTCCCCAAAATAATTTCCTGCTGATGCTCTTAGTCGCAATCAGTGAAGACCAGATCTGTCTAAAAGTTTTTAACTTAATTTCTCAGTCTCTCCGGGGGGTCTAAAAATAAGTTTCAGCTGGGTGGACAGCTTCTTACCTCCAGCTGTAGCTGGACTGGTCAGTGCTTAAAGTAGCAGGATGAAGCTCTATGCTCCTGCCAGTGAAGAGATGAGAGAAAAAGTTCCCAAGAGGGTCACCTTTGTGGGTTCAAAAAGCTTCAGTGCTATGGACAGTAGAAACCCTGTGATCTTGACTCAGACACTAAGATCAGCCTTTATTCTGACCCTATAATGGTAAGTGTTTCAAGTTGTGGTTTTTTTATATTTTTGTTGAGAAACATCAGTCTCCTGATGTTATGATTTGTCTCGAGAAAACACTGACACACACTGAACCATGGAATCCATATGAATTGCATACCTGAAGACCTTACTATTTAAAGGAAGAAATATCTCTCTTCTAGCCAAGAGTTAAGATATAACAATACTAGCTTTACAATAGCATCCTGACAGGGAGAAAAGGCTTTGATTTCTAAGCTAATTGTGATGCTGTAACTTATAGATGCTAGTTGGTTAACATTTTTCAGACATGCTAACATGGTTAAACTGGCTGACCGGCTCAGCTGTGGATTCAGGCTATTGTGAATCAAGACTCTGTCCTTGTATACAAATTTTTTCTCATCACAATTATCTGTGGACGTGATTTTAATGTTACGTCTCGCGTATATTACCGTAGCATCCAGAGGCCTGAGTTGGGACCTTCAGACTGTTGGGCATTGTACAAATATAAAATCTGTGCCCCAAAGAGTTTGTTTCAATATTTGTACTGTTCAGTAGCCTTTTTTTTTTTTTTTTTTTAAAAGAAGCAAATATTTAACTTTCAGTTGAATGGTTTTGATATCTTTCCTTAGCAATACCAAATATTTTTAGAGTACATAGTATTGTTAAGTGGAAGATAAAGGGGGTGGCACTGAGGGACTTGGTTGGCGTCAGTCTGATTACAAATAGCTAGCTATCAAAGACTTGGAATGTATATTAATAGGATTGAGACACTGCCAGATAATTGCATAAAAACAATTTTGAGAGTGAAGCATTATTTATACACATCCCCATGTGGCCATTAGATAATTCTAATGCAGCAATAGCTCATTCCTAACCGTGCTCTGTGGGATCTGGCTCTTGCACCAAAGCCCAGCAGAAAAAAACCTTCCCCTGTTGTGGCCACTCCATGAGAACACCCAAACTTCGTTTCTTTCCCACTGGCCAAGTAAACAGGAAAAGTCTGCTTCTGTAAATTCTAATGAACTCTGTTTACTTCCAGTGTACTGTGATGCATGGGGTGGGGTTAAGGGGAGGGGAGAGATGAGTTGTCTTGAGAGTTCAAAGAGTTCCTGCTCTGGATAAGCAAATGTGCATTTGGTATGTGAGGCATTTGGAATAACTTCAGTTTTGGTGCTGGTTTTGAAAACAGCTTTAACTGGCAGTCGCCTTTATTGGTGACCAAAGTCTTGTCTTGTTGAGATGAGTGGAGATGCTCACAGTGCATATGACAGCACAGGATGATGCTTTGTGTACAGATGGCAACACAAACCTCAAACCTTTAGCAAGTCTGAAACGCTGACAGTGCAATTAAGGGTGTAATAAAGCAGATATATTTTCACTTGAGCTATGTGCTTCAATTGTTTTCCTTTTAAAATTTTCTTTGGCTCATAACTACCTCGAATACATACTCTTAAAATGTGTAGAACATGCTGACCTAGATTCAAATGCAAGTACCTGTCATCAGTCACCTAAAGCCATAGTTAGGTGCCTAAGTGACCTGTCTTTCAAAGGTGCTGAGCACCCATGTCTGAAAATTAGGCCACTTGCTTAAGTGTGTGAACTTGTAAATGTTGGCCTTAGTCCATAATGTCCAGAAGAACTAACAATGCCTTTTAACCCACAGAAGCTTGAAGACTATGATAGAAAAGCAGTACACCAAATAGATCAATTGCAGCGAGAACAGCGGCATCTGGAAAGGCAACTGGAGAAGCTGGGCATAGAAAGAATAAGAATGGACAGTATAGGATCTACTGTTTCTTCAGAGCGTTCAGATTCTGACAGAGGTGAGTCACTCAATTGACTAAGAATATCTATACTTGTAGCTGAAACCTTAAAATGCTTTATCAGGTTGTTCCAACACTACTCTTTTGTTTACAGAAGAAATTGATGTGGATGTCGAAAGCACAGACTATTTAATGGGAGACCTAGACTGGAGCAGCAGCAGTCCTAGTGATTCGGATGAAAGAGGAAGCATGCAGAGCGTCTGTAGTGATGAGGGCTATTCCAGCTCTGGCATTAAGAGATTAAAGCTGCAGAACAATCACAAGCCTTGTCTCAGTCTATAAGAAGCAACTCAGTAGCTGTTCCATCCATTGCAGTTTCCCTGTTGGATCTTATTAGGTAGTATATTGGACCGTCCCACAATTCTCTTGCACGTAAACTTAATGTATCACCAACATTAGCGAAATCAGCTTTGCCTAAGTCCTGAAACAGTGCATAGGGTTGTGGGTTATAAGCTACTCTCTGGAGCACACATCTGATTGCATCCACTAGCTTCTCTTTCTGTCAGTAAACTCATCTCTGTGAGACTGTACATTCCAACCAAATTTTGAAGTACCCAAGAATATTTTAGCAGCAATAGAGAGCTAAAAAATCCTCCCCCTTTTTTTTTTTTGCCTTGATGTTATTGTCTAGTATTCTAGACCTACCTTGTCTTTGCTTAGCAACATAATATATCTAATATCCAGAACTAGTGGCTAAACATAACTTTGATCAACAATCTGAAAGGGGAACCCAACTTCCTCATAGTACAGGTCTGGAAATGGGTGGACTAAACTTTCAAAAGTAGAGTGTGGAGCATTTTAGCTGTCCTGTCTCTGATACTTTGAGATTTTGCTACACAATTCTCACAACTGTTGCTTTGGAAATTTACTCCTATATATTATGGGTATTGCATTTTTAGTAGTGTGGCTGTATTACCACCTGACCCAGTCCTCTTGACCTAACTCATTCAAAGCTCCCATTGACTTAAAGTTCAAAGGGCTGTATATTTGCGGCCTTTACTTTCAAGAGTAACCCCATTGAACTTTATCTCAGATTAGCAGCCAGCAAATGACAGTGGGAATTTTGACTAGTGCGGGACAGTGGGGGCCAATTTTGAGACGTTCTGAGTAGCTCTTGGAAGATAGTAGTAGGTAATCAGCACCTCGCAGGATTGGGCTGCAAGACCTTGGCAACACAGATATACTGCTCCACCTCTTGCACATACCTTGATAGGATGTCTTCAGCCTTGCACATCACAGTTTCTTTAATACCTAAACCCAAATGGTACTATTTCTCTAGTGCAATTTATTGTGACCTCATTGCATTACAGCTGCATATTACTGTTCTAGGCAAGTTTTCCTAGAAGTTTGTTCTTGCTTCTCATCTCTGGGACAATTCTTTTCTACCTCAGAGAGATGAACAAAGATTATCTCAATCCCTTTAGCACAAAAATAATTATGCCTCATTTGTTTCTGTAAGCAATGCTTGGTCCTCCTCAAATCTGTTTTACTTCAAATTTTAGCAATAACTGAGTGATGAAGCTAGCTGTGCTAACTTTGGGTGTCAGTGATTGGGCACATTTTACAGGATGTTGCTAATACTACCTTACTACAATTATTCAGTGAAGTGCTATTCGCATTAAAGCTCTTCCTCACTGGGTTGAATTATAAGGCACTCTAAAACTGGCTCATAAAAGATTTTGTTGCCAGCCTAAACCTTAATGTTTTCCCCAAAAAATGTGGTTTTCAACCTTGCAACATTTTCATTTAAGCTAAATAGAGCACATGTAAATGTACATAATACACATGATCTATAAATAGTATTTATTCATTTTATATAAAATTAATGTAAGGGAGATACATTCTTATGCCTTTGTGCTTTTATAGATGTTCTGGAAACTTTGTATGTAGCGGTCTGCTAACAGATAGAGAAATATATATATATATATAGAGAGAGAGCGACAGATTTCTTCAGTCCTCTTTGCTTGAAACATTTTAAGGTCTTTATATTCAGCCCACTTGGCAAACTCCTCACAATGAATATTCAATATTTGATTCTGGTAATACAACCAGCTGGTACAAGGTAACCAGAGAAGCCCTAATATCCAACTGAGCAATTTTCACTATATAAAAGGGCTATGTAGCTTATTTAGTGATGGTCAACAAAAAGTGGGCTTTCACACTTGCCTGCAGTCTTTAAAAATGCAGTTCATGAGACTGAACTAGTCAAGCTGCCAAAAGCCACTAAGACACTCTGTAAAGTGCAAATGAGCAAAATATATAAAATTTTTAGATTTGTTTTCTTAAAATATCCTCAAGCTATTTTTGGATAATTTGAACTCTTTAAAAAAAGAAAAGATGGGAAATGGGGCTAGTGGATTGCTAAAAATCTCCAAAGTATATTCTTTTTGTGTGCGCTATGCTTAAAAAAAAAAAAAAAAAAAAAAAAAAAAATTTTTAAAAAAAGAGAATTTTTAAACAGCTGGAATTTTCAGATGTCCAGCAGATTTGCACTGAACTACAACTTGTATGCCTTTTGCATTTGTAAGCCTGCTTCCTGAGTACAAGCAGAGAATCTTCAGAGAGCTAGCTCAAAACCTGTAAACTAAAAAAAAATGTTGAATATCTGCACTTTGAGGTCCTTTGCTCAATATGGTTTTTCCTTGAAACCTCTTGCTTTCCCCCCCCTTCAAATAAGTGTTGCATAAACTGCCTCACAAAACCAAACCTAGAGTTGCAGATATTGCTATCTTTAAAAAGGTAGCAAAGTAACTTTAGATATTTGGAAAGTGTCGGAGGGGTATATTTGAAATATTAAATTGTGTACTTTGTGGTTTTTTTTTTTTTTTTTTAATTTAGAAATACTGAGTCTTAAGGCTTCAGCGTAATGTGTTTTTAATTGTTGTGCCTTTTGAGTTAACTACATTCTTTTTTTTTATTTCCTTTGGTGAAATATTGAGTGTTTTGTCCCTATATAAAACAGTAATTATTTGACCTTTGCACTGTTTGGATGTGGTCCTCTCAATTTTGATGGCATAGAAAATGTTGAACTTTGAAAATGATGCACTAATGTCAAAACTGACACAAGGGTATACGTGGTGTCTTTTCCAAAACTCTAGGCAGGTGCAGTAAATTTTGCTACTGTGGGCTCTAAAGCCACTTTTGTATTGGCTAGGACCATCCTTGGCAGCTTCAAATCTCTCTGGTCCTCTTTGCTAGTCAACAAGCCCAAGCCTCAGGCAGCTAAGTCTACTTCCAAGGCTGCTGAAATGGTAGCATTTTTCTCTGTTTTGCCAGCCTTTTCCTCGAATTCACTGATCCACCAGCATTATTACTAAAGCTGCAGAAAATAAAAAATTTTGTAGATTGTTAGGGGAGTGAGGGACTACTCGTATATTCCAAGTTTACGATTGATAGTTGCACAGATGTGTGTGAATATAAAACACACTTTTTCTTGTGAAAAGGGCAGATTAAAAAATACTGCCATCAGTAACTAAGTTTCAGTGAAAATGGTGAAACCAAGCACACGCTCAATTGGAAGAGAAATCCGAAACTCTTGCACTTAATAATCAGAGCAGAGAAAACAAATTTGCAGTAACTTGTGTTAATGATGGTCTGTCTTAAACATCTTAAAGTACTGTTTGTACCTATTGAGCTTGTTTTCCTGAGTGTTGAGCACCCAGAATCTAATTTCTTCTACAAAGCAGAGCTTTCAACTCTTCACGGTGCTGATAGTCACATCTTGTGAATTTCCAGGGTCCTTGCTAATACCAATTTATGATGAAAAATCAAAGAGCACTTTTTTGAGCAGCCCTGTAGGTGCCACTAACTTCACAACATCTTATAAGATGATCTGAAACACTTCAGAGCTCTGGACGTTAACAGGCCATGGTCTGCCAGTTGCCACGTTAGCACTTTGTTCTCTAATAAGGCACTTCTCTCCCCCGGTCCTAAACCCACTATAGCTCTATATCGGCTCTGAAAACAAAAAGAGAGCCCTATATCTGATGTCACTCCAGAGCTATAAATCTGTGCATTAGGCCTACCAACCTAGCCAAGAGAGAGCCCTATGTTATAATGTATGGTGGCTTTTCCTTGCTCATTCAAAGTGTGTGAACTAGATGAAACAGGCATCTGAAATATTATCTAGCAATACGTTCGGGCTTTGAGTTCTTCTTTTGCCCCTTTTGTAACAAATTTCAGGTTTTGACACTGTAATGTATTGGGAAGAATTCTGCTTTTGCCAGGCTATGTATCTGCTCCCCTGAAAGTGTATATTCTGTTGCTTTTTTATTGCTGCTTGGTCTGCAAGTTGTTTATACTGTCTAGTAGTAGAAACAGGTACCTCGGTCCCAAGCATTACTGAAACATGCGACAGCTGTGTGAATAGCTAGCTGAGTAGACATCTCTGGGGTATGGAAGAAATCAAAAAATTCCAGCCCCAAATAGTCATCTAGCGTTCAAACGTCTCTATGCTATAACCAATTTTTTTTAAAAAAAAAAAAAATCTGGGGTGTAATAAACTTGATCCCCCATTTTTTTTAATTTGGAAGAAGGTTTTTTGTACCATGTTGTTCAGGTGAAAGAATAAACTCGGAGGCAGCTCTACCCAGTTGCTGTTTGCTGAATAGCTATTGTATGACTGCAAAAAAAAAAAAAAAAAATATTCCAAGTACCTATTTCTTCTAAAGTGCCCAAACCTTAAGGGACCTGGGGATTTGACCAGTTCTATTTGTGCTGTTTTTTCTTCCAAATTGTTAAAAGAACCAAACTTGCCTATCTCCCTTTCTCAAGTTGGTGCTCTTAGCAACACTGCTGTTGAACCATCAGTTTTATTTTTGGCAGTCTTCCAAATAGTAAACGGACTAAACAGGGGAGCAAGCAGATGGGAGAATATGAATTCTGTTTCCAGATGTTAAGTTCCTAATGTAAATACCACATCATTATGAATCCTGTGTCAAGACCATATAATGGTGCTTTTTATTACAGTTAGCACATGCATTTTTAGAAACTACATGTTTTAGAAGACCTTGCTGTGTATATGTATACTTCTGTATTGTTCAACTGTTAGATAATAAATTATTTCATTACTAAAGAGAAACAACGTCCTCCCAGTGTTCTTCTGGTTTGACTAGAAAATGCCTTGTGACGTGAACAATTTCACTGATTTGTCAGGTATCTTTCAGTAAATGGCAGTCAAAATGTTACTAGCAATCTAGTGATGAAACTCATTATGGCCTCTTGGGCACCCAAAAATTGTCACCTGGAATCACATTATTCACTTTTGAAAACAGTTTCTAGGAGGTAAGAAATTAGTAGGTGGAAATGGCTTAAAGTTATTCCCTTCCCTTCCCATTTTAATGACAGTAAGGGGAAGAATAACCTTTAAATGTTGCCTGGACTAACTCTTTCGGCTTCCCTTTCAGCAGTAGTTTGTACCCCAAGAGCTGCTTCCAGTATTTTGTACT